ATCTATTTCTACCTACGACTATATAGAGGTATATAATAGGACTTCGTAGGCTTATACTTTTAATAGTAATATATTAACTAAGCTATACTAAACTTAGAATTATAGTAAGCGTATAGACTATCTAACTACGCCTTCTTACTATATTTACTTTTAGTAGCTAGCTAGATTTAGAAATAGATATTTATATTATAAGTAATACTATATACTTAGACTATACCTAGTACTTTTAAATACTAGTAATATATTATATTTAAAGCTATAATATAGTAGTAGGATTAAGCTTAATACTACCGGACTCGTATAGTTATCGAATACGGAGTATAATTTACCTAAATACTACTAGATAATCGGTATAGGCGTACTCCGATATTAGTTATACTAACATTTTGTTAATCTTTTAAATATTAGGATATACTAAGACTTACTCTATAGACGCAAAGTTAGTATAGCGGAATATAGGAGACTATATAACACAGTCTTCAAGGGTCGCCTGCCACGGTAGGAGTGCAAATGCTATTCGTACATCTCGCATTAATCTATACACGGCACGTGCGTATACGCAAGGGAGAAAGCTGGTTCATCTGCCGACGCTGCATCTGATCTGACCAGAGGCTGCCCATGCTACAGTGCTCCCAGTATCATGTAAGTGGTGCCTTGATTGTACTACCTCTACCACGTGAATTGCAGACGAAAATGGCTGTCAGCTGAGGGGTGGTGCTTCGTGGGCTGCCCGGCAAAACCCCACATCTAGCCACCCCGTCCACCATTCTTTCAAGAGATTTAACCTTTTCAGTGAGGAGAAGCCTAGCTACGTGTCACACGAGCGCGGGCAATCATATGCAAGACTCCAAAGTGTTTGACATAGCTTTCTGTTCTGATCCATTTTTCGCCCAATTCCAACGCGTCCAGTTGCGTGGAACAACGACAACATGGCAGAAGAAATCGCAGCAGATTACCTGGTGGTTGGCGCCGGAGCAATGGGGTTGGCTTTTGTGGATACAATGCTCAGCGATACCAAAGATACTAAGATAATTATCGTCGACCGCTATGATCGACCTGGAGGCCACTGGACTACAGCATATCCTTTCGTGAGGCTACATCAGCCTTCAGCCTTTTACGGAGTGAATTCACGGAATCTCGGAGAGAACAAAATTGACAAAGTTGGCCTCAACAAAGGTCTTGCGGAGTTGGCTACCGTTGACGAGATCTGTGGATATTATAACATTGTTATGCATCAAACTTTCCTCGCTTCGGGTCGGGTCAAATACTTTCCCAAGCACGAGTTCGATACGGCCCAGCTACAGTGGCGATCTTCTGTTACGGGAAAGACATACAAGCTCCAGCGAAGCACCACAGTCGTCGACGCTACGTACATGAAAGTGAAGGTGCCATCCATGGCTCCCCCATCCTACGAAGTCGCAGGCGTAGAGTTGGTCACGCCGAATGCCTTGCCCAAGGCAAGTCGACCGTATGGCGGATACACGGTAGTAGGCGCTGGCAAGACAGGAATTGATGCGTGCCTATGGATTTTGAACCAAGGAATAGATCCGAAACAGATTACCTGGATCATGCCACGGGATTCGTGGTACTTCGAAAGAGGCGGATTGCAGCCCGGACCAGAATTCGCCGCCAGCACTGCGAACAGTATCAACGACATCAATGGTTCGGTCATGCAGGCCACATCTCCGGAGGATCTCATGCTCCGGCTTGAGTCCTGTCAGCAAGTTATACGACTTACGGACAAAGTCTGGCCGACTATGTTTCGATGTGCAACCGTCTCTCTGGCCGAGCTCGAACAAATCCAGCGAATTGAAAACATTGTTCGTCAGGGTCGTGTCGCACGTATCGATTCTAGCGGAGTACATTTTGAGAATGGTTCTTCCCACAAAGCAGTGCCCGACACCATATACATCGACTGTACCGCCGACGCCCTAGCGAAACTCGACCCAAAGCCCATATTCGATGCCGAAACAAAAACCCTCACACTCCAATCCGTCCGTTTCTGTCAACAAGTCTTCAGCGCAGCCTTTATCGCTCACGTTGAAGCCACCTACACCAACGACCTCAACCTCAAAAACGAGCTCTGCCGCGTGATCCCTCATCCGAATGAATGGATCGATTACATGATTGTAAACCTTCAAACTCACCGCAATGGTCTCACATGGGCGAGTCATCCCAAGACGGCTGAGTGGCTAGCTCAAGCACGCTTGGATTGGTATGGTACATTCTTGCCTAAAGCGCCGGAAGATCCAATACAAGCGAGGGAATTTTATTCTGCTGTCGGGGCACAGATACAAGGGTTGTGCGGTAAGCTGGAGGAATTGTTAGGTCAACTTCCGGAGAAGGATGCGGCGAGAGCTAAAGCTCAGATAGCTGGTATGTAGTGTACTCATGAGGTAGCATTGGTATGGAGTTGTCCATGACGCACAGTACGTCGCTCATCGTAGATCGAAGCTGTTTCTCCTGCGAATGGAAGGGGTCTCGATCGCTTGCGTGCACGTTCTGATACCTTGGTCTGAGATGATGGAACAATGTCAAGGTGTGTACCGACCCGCGGATGACGGAATCGCGATTCGAGTTTTGCATTGAGCGTTTCGTCCTATGCCATCTCTTCAGGATGAAAGCGACCAAGTTCTTGTTTCGGTATGTTCACAAGAATGGTCTACGTATGCCGACATGATGTCCCAGAAGCGACTTCAGCACTCCCTTCATGCTTTCTGGAATTGCACAACGAGTCGGGATTACCCCGACATATTCCGGAGGCAAATCTTGACAGAACTGTTACTGGAAAGAATGTGTTCGACAGGTACTGGAATGCTAGAATACTGCCTTGCGCAAATGAAGATGAATCCAGAAGTCCTTCGGAAAGCTGAACCATTGAGATCTTGTGATCCACGGTTGCTCTGCATTGACCAGTTCCGCGTCAAAATGACGGACAAATGTGGCAATGTACTTGTATGTCTCAACGAGGGCAAGGTTCCGTCCGACACAGCTACGACTTCCCATGCCGAACTGAGGAGCGCAAATCGTTAGCAAATACTTCCAGTGGCAAAATTTCCATTTCAATGCAACTCACTGTGGTCAGATTTTGCTCCATCACTCGAAGCCGCTTTGCCTCTTCCGGGCTATCATCCGCAGGCAGCCAACGTTCTGGGACGAACTTGTCCGCATCGCTGCCGAACAAGTCGTGAGAGCGATTCATCGCGGCAGGACTAATGCCACACGATGCGGTCCCCGGTATGTGGTACTGCCCTATTCGCATACCGCCAGCAGGTGGAACTCTGGGCAACTGATAGGTAATGGACGGATGCAATCGCATACTTTCGCGTACCACAGCTGAAAGGAAGGGTAGCTTTTCCAACTCTCGGAACGATGCACCATTTGTAGCATAAGCCTGATCCACTTCTGCTCTCACTCTTTGCAGAGCGTCGTCTCGTAGCAGGAGCTGGCCTAGGACGGCCAAGATTGCAATTGCCGTGGTGTCTGCTCCTGCGCCCAAGATATTCACGCCCTCAATCATGACTTCGCCCTTGCTCACTGGCTTACCGTCTTGGGTCTTGCCGTTGATGAAGTACTGCAACATGTCAAACCTCCTGTCGCCCAAGCCCTCTTGCATGCGTTGATCAACACGCTTTTCTAACCACCCCAGGAAGGTCTCGAACGTGTTCATCCGCTCTCCTCCAAATTTGCGTATCAGAAAGCGGGCCACAGGATTGTTGAACCAAAACATCTTCCCGGGCACGTGGCCCATGTTCGCCATCAGGTAGAAGCCATCATGAATGGACTGGATATTGCCGCCAACGTCTTTGCCCTGTTCCAAGAAGCCGATCGGTCCGCCCATGGATAATTGCCCGACCACGTCGAAGGTAAAATAGTTCGCATATTCATCGATGCGCACCGGCTCGTCTTTGGTAGCGAGCTCTCGCAACTTGGCAATATTGAGCTCCATGACTTCGCCGATCAGTTCCTCCATGGACAAGATCGCCGACATGGAGTACGTGCCGGACACGCGGCTCCTGATGCGGCGATGTACATGGCGATTCGTCGTGGCAAAGAAACTGTCGCCCATGCCGGGGATGACCCACGTGTCGTACCAGGACGTCTTTTGACTCGGCTTGCCGTGGCCATACAACTCCTTGAGCGCGCCCTCATCGACGAAACTGATTTCGTTCGGCGCGATCCTCACCACGGGGCCATATTTCTCGTGCAAGCGCACGACGTCTTGCAGCCACGAGCCTCGGAAATAGCGTCGATTGAGCCAGAGACTGCTGAATCGAGCGGCGACCGGTCCAGGGACGTTGCGGAGTGGGTGGAAGAAGGCGTTGTACAGGAAATGCAGCAGCAGCAGAAGGACGACGCCGCCAGCGGCTCGCTGCGCAAACTGCTGGCTCACGGTGGAGTCCAGCCACTGCATGGCGGGCAATCAAGGGCACCGATGGCGGTTTGTCCGTCGCGGTGCAGCGTCGCAGGGAGACTGTAGAGGTGGCAGGAGAGCGACGACGGCGTTGTCGCAGGCCCAACTGCAGCGTACACGCGTGGAGGCCATGGTAAGTGCCTGGTTTTCATGCCGGACCTGCTCGTGGTGCCTGGTGATGCGTGCGCGGTGAAACCCCACTGCCTCAGTACTGAGATCCTGCAGAGCACATGTGGCGATGGGAGAGTGAGGGGGTGGGGAGCGGTGCGGGCCGTCCTGCCAAGCCTGGGGTGGATGGCGGGGTCCCCAGATCGATGGGATCAGGGGTCATGCATGGTGCTCTGTCGTTGTCGGTGCTTACCTGATCACGACGCCGCCCACCCCACTGACGCCGACGCCCATGTCATCTCGCCGTCCCGAATGCGCGTCGTGCGGCAAGACCTTCGCGCGCCAGGCGCATCTGGAGCGGCACCAGGAAACGCACCGTGGTGACTTGCTACGATGGTCGTGTCAATACTGCCAGAACAGCTACACCCGGCGGTATG